AACTTCAAATCTTTAATGAATCATTTATACACCATCAACTAAAAATTAGATCACTTCCACGGCATTTTGGGTAATAAGACATCTATCATGGTGGTTGTGATAAATACTTAATAGATAATTTCAGATAAATAATTGTAACAATAAAAAAATAATAATAAATACATAAGTAATCTTACAAATATAACATACTATGATGATGCTATTATCTGAAACATTACATATTCTGAAAAAATATGAATGGCACTCACACACAGGTGTTTCCACAAGTGTAATTATATTGTGTGAATTATAGATTGTGTGTTTGATGTGGTTTGAGATCAAAGTGAAAAATTAATTAGAGTTTTTGTACAGCTTCACACAGACTTTTTAGACTTTTAAACTCTTAGAGCACATTAACAGAGAGCTGCATTAGACTCTACATATTAAAATAACTTGAGCTCCTTCATTTGCAGGCATTTCTCTTGAAGACTGTTCAACACTGTCCTGTCCCGAAGACACTAGAAAAATAGACCGAAAAGAAAAAAAACAAGTCATTAACATGAATTATTAGCATTGAACTTAAACGTTTAGTAACCTGAATGTAAGTAGTAAAGCCTTTTCTTTTAAAGTATACAGAAACAGAAAAAAAATTCTTACCATAATAATGTGCTATAAAACACAGATAAATCAAAGCCCATCTAAACATAGTTGTTCTTTAAGGTAAAAGAAAAACAAATCCCCTCAACTCTGCTCTAAAAAAAAACTCTTAAAGAGCTCTTCTTTAAAGGGTTGTGTCATATCACGTTATATCTACAAAGGAAGAGAGCAATGCTGACCCCTTGTGGATGAAGTTGAAAATTTATATACATTGGCTGCATCTGAAATCGCATACTTCCCCATTATATAGTAGGTGAAAAATCACGGGACATTGATTTCGCGTCTAATACTGTCAAAAACACACAAGGTTTACATATAAACACAGTTGGTTATGTCTGAAATGAAAGTAAACAGTTGAGAGAGAAACGAGTGAAGCTCTTAAAGGGACAGTAGCTACTAAACATGCTGCCGCCTGTCATTAAAGGGATAGTTCACCCCAAAAATTAATCTCTGTCATTATTTACTCACTCACATTTTGTCCCAAACCTGTATTA